CCCGGGAATTCCACTCCTAGGAATTTACCCAAAGAATATAATTCCTCAGATTCAAAAAGACATATGCACACCTATGTTTATCGCAGTACTATTTACAATAGCCAAGAAATGGAAGCAACCTAAGTGTCCATCTGTAGATGAATGAATAAAGAAGATGTGGTACACATACACTATAGAATACTATTCAGCCATAAGAAAGAAATGTCTTACCATTTACAACAACATGGATGGAGCTGGAGGATATTATGCTCAGTGAAATAAGCCAGGAGGAGAAAGACAAGTGCCAAATGTTTTCCCTAATTTGTGGAGTATAACAACGAAGCAAAACTGAAGGAACGAAACAACAGCAGACTCACAAACTCCAAGAAGGGACTAGCAGTTACCAAAGGGGAGGGGTGTGGGAGGGTGGGTGGGGAGGAAAGGAGCAGGGGATTGATGAGTATTATGATTGACACTTGGTTTGTGGAGGGGATCATGAGGAAGACAGTGTAGCACAGAGAAGACAAGTAGTGACTCTGTGGCATCTTACTACACTGATAGGCAGTGACTATAATGGGGTATGGAGGGGGACTCAGTAATATGGGTGAATGTAGTAACCACATTGTTTTTTCATGTGAAACCTTCATAAGAGCGTATATCAATAATACCTTAATAAAATAAATTCAAAGAGCAAAAGAGAATGTGAATTTAAAATCAGTTTACCCCACTCCAAACCTTCTGTCAGTGCTGTCACTCTCTCTTACTGGAGATAACCATCAAACATTTTCTTGTATCTTTATAGAAACAAAGTTGACAGCAAATGTGTTCTATGTCAGGGATTCTGCTAGACACTGAGACACAAAAAAGTAAGACATGGTTCCTTCTCTTGATTGACAGATTTACTGAGGGTGAATAACATGGGAACACCAACTATAATGGGTATGAACAATATACTTTGGGGAACAGTGGTGCACATGACTGTGGCCCAGTGTTGAAGATCAGTTAGCCATTTGGGAATGCTTTAAAGGATGGGTAACACAAATTGCCCTTTTAAGACTGTGTGGGAAATCAAAAGGAGAGCATGAAGGTGGAGCCATGAAAGGAATTCCAGCACAAGGAATGGAATAAGAAAAGGCATGGAGGAGCAAACCTTTCTGAGGTGTTGGGGAAGTGACTGTCTGGTGGGGCTAAAACATAGGATTGGTTCAGGGGTGTGTGACGCAAGAGTGGAATTGTAGTACAGGGGCCAGATTGTGTCATATTTCAAATTCTATATTAAAGATTTTGTGTTTAATTTTATAGGCGACAAACTTTTTTGTTGTTTTTAAGTGAGTAATATAATTAAATCTGTGTGTTAGAAAGAGTACCTGGCACAAAACAGATGTAGAAAGATGTTTGCTAAATGGATGGAGTAATTAAACAATCAACAATACATGGAGAATTCAATACTCCATTTTCAATAATAAGTAGAACAAACAGGCAGAAGATCAAGAAGGAATTAGACTTAAAGAACATTATAAACCGACTAGACCTGACAGACATCTATGGAATACTCCATCTAATGACGACAAACACTCTCCTCAAATGCCCATAAAACATTCTCCAGGATAGAACACATGCTAGGCCAAAAACAAGTCTCAATGAATTCAAGAGGCATGAAATCATACAAAATATGTTCTCCAACCATAATGGAACTAAATGTGAAGTGAATAACAGAGGAAAATTTGGGAAATTCGCATATATGTAGCCATTAAATAACAAACTTAAAGAACCAATAGGTCAGAAATGAAATCACAAGGGAATCTAAAATGAGATGAATGAAAACTAATACACAAAATGTGAAAATTTATGGGATACAATGAAAGTAGTGTTCAGAGGGAAATGTAGGACTGTAAATGCTTATGTTTAAAAGAAGATATATCTGGAAAACCAAATATTAAATTTTAGAAAACTAGAAAATGAAGTGCAAACTAAAAGCAAGTAGAAGTAAAGAATTAATAAAGAATATAACAGAAATATTTGAGATAAAAAACAACAATGGAGAAAATAAACAAAAACAAAAGTTGTTTCTTTGAAAATATAGTGTAACTGACACACATTTAGTAAGACTAAGAGATACAAGATTCAAATTACTAAAATCAGAGACAAGACTACTGACCTAATAGGAGAACAAAGGATTACAAGGAAGTAATGAAATGGACAAATCCCCCAAAATGCACAAAAATGACCCAAACTGAAGAAGAAATAGAAAAATTGAATAGACCCATAAAAAGATTGAATTATTAATGAAAAACTTCCTATAAGAAAAAGAGTAAATCTAGGTGGTTATACTGGTGAATTCTAGCAAACATTTATAGAAGAATTAACATAAATCCTTCATAAATTCTTTCAAAAACTAGAATTGGGGGAACACTTCTCAATTTATTCATCACCCTATCAATAAACTGGGCAATGACAAAGAAAACTACAGACCAATATCTGATGAACATAGACTCAAAATACTAAATCTTATCTAGCAACATATAAAAAGGATGATGCACCATAACCAAGTGGGATTTATCCCAGGAATGCAAGGTTGGTTCAACATATGGAAATCGACCAATGTTAATACATCATATCTATAGAATAAAGGTTAAAAAGAACATATACTCCGAACAATTCTGGAGTCAAACCTTCTGTTCTTTGGTTTACATCTTTTGACTGGCTCATTTGTAAGTTCAATACAGTGTGTGTAAATCTGCACAGTTGGTGTGGCTATTATTTCTATAAGACCTTTAAAATCTTCTAATTACAATTAATTTTTAACTTTTCCACTGCTGGTGATTTGAACTTCAGGGACACAGGATATTCTGAATTTAAAATGTTTTTAAGATTATAAAATATTTTAGTACTTAAATGAAGGCTATGTACAAGGATTTTTCTTTTCTAAACTATTTGGCATCATTACTTCTGTAGTAAATTCTTTTTAAGAAAATGTGCCACATTTGCATGAAATGGTTTTCCTATGAATAATAAATCAAGCTATGAACTATAAACAATGACCTGTTCCATACATTTTAACCATTAGCTATCTTGCCCTTAGAACCTTTTTGAAATTACTTGAAGCTGATAAATTTTATTTGTAAATAACGAAACAGAGACAAACCAGACTGTTGGATTCCATTCCCACATCTTTCCACTGGTAGGAGGAATAAAGGAGGCTGTGGAAGCAGGTGGGTAGAGGGGAGTGGTGAAGTTACCATTAGAGTAATTTAGCTCTGATCTCCTCTTCCTCATTACTCCATCCATCACACAGTAGCTGAGTGTCAATCATTTGTCAGGTAGGGTAATGGGCTCTAGGGATCTAGTGATGACAAAAACACATTCTAGGCTCTCTAAGGAGCACTGAGTTTGGAGGGAGAGAGACTGCTGCACTAGAAAGTTAAGTATATCATAATAGTTTGTACAAAGGATTCAAACATAATGTGCTATCAAAGGAGAACTGTTGCCATCTGACAAGAATAAGGAAAGTCATTACAGAAAAGGTGACATTTAAAGCCTTGGCTGCAGTTTGTCAGGGAAGGAGGAGGAAAGGAATTTTAAGCAAAAGGAAAAGTTGAAGCAGAAGGAGCAGGCCTAAAGCATGACTTCTTCAGAGCTCACAGAGGCAGGGTGAGAGCACAGGGCAGCCTGGGTGTGTGTGTCTGGGTGGTATGGGCTGGAGTGCAGACCAGAGGGACCCACGTGGACAGACCATCTGACACAGGAAAACAGAAGAACAGCAGCAACGCCCCTGTGTGCTATGCTAAGGAATTTGAACTTTATCCTAAAGGCCTTAGGGGGTCAGCAGAGGGTTTGAGGGAGATGACAAGGTCAGCTCCCTCCCAACACAAGAGATTCTGTGATTCCAGAGAGCGGGAAGGGAGTGTCTGACCCCTGCACGCTGAGAGAGTTGCTGCCTCTCCCCTCATCTAGCTCTCTGCTTAAAGACTGCCTCCTTTCTCCTGCCTGGCCTCACATATGCAGCATGCCGAGCATTTTCCGATTCCTTATCTGTCTTTCTTTTTCTCATGGTTCTTCCCAAATATTTGATTTACCTTGTTATTGTTGCCTGTCCCACTGTATACAAGCCCCATGATAATAGGGACTTTGTCCTTGATTGTCACTGTCTCCCCAGAGCCTCATACTGTGCCTGGCAAATAGTAAGTGCACATGTGCTCTTGAATGAGTGACAAGTGATGCGGACCTGCCCCAAATCTTGGTCCAAAGAACTTGGGAACCTGTGAAACTCAGATTCCAGGGAGGGAACTCTGCAGGGGCCCAGAGACTCTGAGCACACAGATACAGGGATGGGAGGGCAAGAAGCCCCAAGAGGCTCCCTACAGTGACAATAGCCTTCCGAATGAGCTGTTGAATCTTTATCCCACAATTCTTTTTGTCTTTTCCCCCAGAGCCAGCCCTTTGTAATGAGAAGGCAGGACTTTATAAATTACTTTAATTTAGGGGTGTTGGAACCAACAAAAGGATTTCCCTGGGGAAAAAGAATGAAGCCTAAGTTTTTCCTCTAATATACTGTTGAAAGCCAGAGTCTAGAATCAAGAAGCTGGTGTTTTTGTAATTTTCCCTGAGATCTCAGAATGGGCAGACCATGTCCTGTAGAACTGATAAGTCTCATGAGGTCTCAGACTGAACATGCCCCCTTCAATTTCCCAGCATCTTGCATGCTTGGCTCTGAAGAACATGAGGGGTAGTTGTGATAGGGAAAACTCATCAATGAGGCTCCTAGATAAGGATCCATCTGTGGAGGTAGTTCCTTGAATCTCCAGCAGCTGGGTGTTCAGGGAAGTGGAGTGGGCAGAGTCCAGAAGCTTCTCAGAACACTGGCTGACAGCTCAGCTCCTTAGCGTTTCCAAGCCATGTGCCTAGAAATCACCTCAAACGACAAGAGAAACAGACAAATCTCAACTATGTGAAAACTGGTGTTGAAAGCTTGTTTCTAGGTCTTTCCAATTTGAGAACCAACCAATTGGTTCCTATTTCAGGCAACCAAAACCTTATATTATGGATATGCAAGGAAAAAACAGTCGTGGTTCTATTGCCTGGCATATGGGTGACTTTGAGAACACCAATCAAAGGAATTCTAAATGGGCTACCCTCCTTCAGCAGAGTAAGACAGCATCGTCGAGAGTTTCTAGACCACCTAAGTGACCACATCTACCAACAAAGGAGGAGGTATGATCACTTGCTTCTCTGAACCATCACAGAAAGCATCAAGCTGTTTTCAGATTTCCATGGTAATGTCCACACGGTGGGTAGGTGGGTATTATTCCCATTTTTATAGCTAAAGAAAACAAGAGATTGTAGGGTTCAGTCTTTACAACTGTTTATCTATCATATGGATTAACCTGGAGAGAATGGCCATCCACTAGATACCCAAAATCTGAGAAAGCTCTCAGTCTGTGAATAACCCTTCTTAAAACATTTACAGACTGGTTAGTGGAGTGAGAATACACCAGTTGAAATTCAAGGTTTTTTTTTTCCTCCATTAGTTTATATGAAATCTTGAGCAAGTTGCATAATTTCCCTATATGGGTTCTTTAAGTAAGAAAAATGGGGATATTGGTATCTGTTTTGAATATTTTATAGACTTGTCATGAGAATCAAGAAAAGAAGGTATATATTCAAATCAACACTTATTTCTTGAGGTCCTTGTACATAATCCTGCAGCAGAACCACTTCATAGTTGTCCATATTTCGACACTGAGTATGACAACACATTTCCATGCTAGACAAGGGAATAGAACAGCAGGGGTACATTCAGAGACTCCTGTTCCCTACACGAAGAGAGTCTCCTTGCTCTGCAGAAAAATCTTGCCAACTCCCTTGAATATGCCAGATGTCTGACTCATTAACAATTAATTATATCTATTTGAAACATTCTGTGAGGGAGCTGTAGAAGTCCTCCTTGGTAAGCCCTGACCCCAGGAACACTATATTGAAAAAGGGAGTAGTGTAGCTGCTAACATTCCTATGTGGTCTGAGTTTTGGGCTGGGTCCAAATGAGATGATTTATTGTAGTATGTGTGTGGGAAGCTTGAATTAGCTACTTTCCACTATTGACCTAATTTTGCATAGGATTAGACCAATCATGGATTAAGTGATCCCAAATGCTTCCTCCTATCATTCGCTGAATCCAACCGAGATATTTGTGTGTACTTGAAAAAAAAAATCTGTTAAAGGACATTTTATTTTGAAATGAATTCAAAAGACACAAGAACAGTACAAAGTGAACTCCTGATACATTCTTCACTCAGAATGATGCTGTTAACTTTATTTGCTTTAAAGCAGGCTTTCTACACACACACACACGTTTGCTTTTTCCAAATGCTTTCAGAGTAAGTCGCAGATGTGATGCTCCTTGGCTGTTGAGGCATCTGAGTTCTTTATATATTTTGGATGTTAACCCCTTATCAGGTGAGTTCTTTATGAACGTATTCTCCCATACTGTATGGTGCCTTTTTGTTCTGCTGATGGTGTCCTTTTTTTAGTTTGATGCTGTCCCATTTGTTCATTTTTTATTTTGTTTCCCTTGCCCAAGGTGATGTGTCCAGGAAAAAGTTGCCCATGCTTATACTCAAGAGATTTTTGCCTGTTTTCTTCTAAGAGTTTTATGGTTTCATGATTTACATTCAAGTCTTTGATCCATTTAGGGTTTACTTTTATGTATAGAGTTAAATAATAATCCAGTTTTACTTCTAAATATTTCAGGTGTATTTCCTAAGAAGGATATTCTCCCATGTAACCAGAGTACAATGATAAGATTCAGGAAATTTAACATTGATATCATATTATAATCTAATCTATATTTCATAATCAAATTTTATTTATTGACCCAATGACATCCTTTGTATTTTTCCCTCATCCAGGATCCAATCTGGGATCATAGATTATATTTAGTCTCCATGTCCTTTGAGTTGGCTTCAACTTGGAACACTGACTCAGTTTTGGTCTTTTATAACACTGACATTTTTTAAGCATACATAGCACTTCTGTAGAAAACCTCTTAATTTGTGTTTATCTGATGTTTTCTCATGAGTATATTCAGGTTGCATTAGAAACTTGTTTCCCAAGTCCATTTTTTTGGAGCAACCCACAGGATTCCTTTGAATGATACTTCAGTAAGTACTCACCACAACCACCCCCACCCCCCACCACAAGTACACACATCTTTTAATATAAATCTTCTTCAGTGAAAATAACTTGAAGCAAGTATTCTTATCAATTCAAAAGCAAATAATGAATACAACATGCTTAAAGACCTCCAACATAATGCCTCACCTTAGCCACCAATGAGTGGCCCATTACTATACTCACCTCAGCATATTTTTCATTTATATGTTGCAAGAATCAGAACTATGCACTGAAAGCAACCTCACAAAACTAAAAATGTGTTAATATACTGGGGAACTTGGAAATTTTAAAGCATAAAACTATCATAATATCATAATCATCAAGAGAGATGATTGAAAATAGGGATATTTTATATTAGTGTTCTTGAGTTTGGATTTTTACTTGTAAAACTAAGTTTGGAGTTTACTTACAGTGTTTCTAAATATTTAACAGAATATATCATTCTTGTATACATGTACCGAACAAGCTTTTTACAAAGTGTATGAAAATCAATTGGGCCTATTTCTAAACTGTCTCTTCTATTATATTTCCCCAAGTTTCTCCCTTTTAAAAAAATCGTAGAATGTCTCTCAAGTTCTATCATCCACAGAATGTTTGTTATTTTTCCTTCTTGAGTTTGGTCATTTTTTTTCTTCACATAAATAATAGCTATTTAAGTGCCGTCAAATTTATGTGTGACAGACATGTTTAACAATAAAATCCATCTGTTTCATTTCTTTGCTTGCAAATATTCTCATTGCCATCCCCTTCCCTTCATTCCAATACATGGACACAATCTTTGTGATAAACACATTCTTTCTCTCATCCATTCATTGGTTGAGTACAAAAGCAGTAATTCTCACATTTGAATGTGCGTCTGAATCACCTGGTCACCACATCGAGATGCAGACAAGGGTTTGCGGGTCTGCACTTCCCTCAGGCTGTTGACCATTGTTGGTCTGGACCTTTAGTAACAAGGTATCAGAAGATTTGACACTGAATTTGTTTTGAGCTGGGAACAGAAGGACCGCTAGAAAGGGCAGATCTACAGGGACCAAGCAAGCAGATCCAACGTTCCCAGCGCTGCCTGGGTGCAGGGGAAAGCCTGGTTAGCATGGGGAGAAGCTGAGGCCGAACCCACCGGCAGACCTTGTGGATGTGGGGTGGGGCAGGGGGAGCCAGGTGGCAGGAAGAAGAGAATGACTAGTAAGCAAAGAAGCAAATGCAAAGAAAACTCATCTAGAATATGCTTAATTGTCAAAGGAAGGAGAAATGTAGGCTATAGAGGGGCAAGGGGGGCTTAGGAGAAAAGCTTAATATGGGAGAAAATCTTTTTTTACACTTTAGGTAGAAAAACGTCAGTAGGTTGAGGATGTGATGGTGAGAGAAAGGGGGTAACTGAGGACTGGAGGTTCCCAAGAGAGCAGAGGGAGGCGCACAGCTACAGGAATAACACAGCTGTAGGGGTTCATCTGTGTGTGAGGGGAGCTTTCTCTTTCCACTGTATCACCCTCCCCCAGCCAGACATCTCAGAGAGCTGTTTCTAATGATGTTTTTCTTGCCCTCCAACATCTCCTTGGCAGCCCCTATGCAGAGACTATGTGACTTATATCTCAACCCTTAGGGGTAGCTCTCAAGTCTATTGTTTACTATGCTAAAGATCTTTGCTTCAAATTCTACTTCCTGTGACTTGGTATGATGACATTTTGACTATCCAACTCCATCTTTGCATCATTACATTTATCATTTGACTGACATCTTAAGCACCTGTATTAGGGTTCTTCAGAGAAACAGAATTAGTAGGAGAGAGAGAGAAAGAGACTGATCAATATTGAAGAATTAGGGAATTGGTGATTGTGATTATGGAGATCAGCAAATCCCAGATCTACAGGGTAGGCCAGCAGGAGGGAGACCCAAGCAAGAGTGATGTTGTAGCTCAAGTCCAAAGGCAGTCTGCAGGTGGGATTCCCTCTTCCTTGGGTACTTCAGTCTGTTTTCTCTTAAGTCCTTCAACTGACTTGATGAGGCTCACCCACATTATGGTGAGTAATCCGCTTCACTCAAAGTCTACTCATTTAAACACTAATCTAAAAAAAATACCTTCCCAAAAATATTCACACTAGTGTTTGACCCAAATATTTGGGTACCATGGCCTAACCAAGTTGACACATAAAATTATCACAGTATCCACCTCATGCGGGTCTGAGGATTAAGTAAGTAACATACATGAAGTATCTGCAGAACAGCCCAGATGCCAGGGAACCAAAGAGCAATGTGGTAATGTACGTGTGTCTTTAAGTTCTTTTTCAATGGCCTGCTTTTTTTCTTTTTAACTGAAGCATAGTTGATATACAATCATGTATTAGTTTCAAGTATACAGCACAGTGGTTCAACAGTTACCCATCTTACTACATTCTCACCCCAACTAGTGCAGCTAATACCTGCCAACATAGGAAGACATCACAGAATCATTGGCTTATTACCATTGGCTTCCTATCATTCTCCATGCCTTACTACCATCCCCATGACCAACCTACATTATGACTTGAGAATTTTTGTGTCAGTGGCATGCTTTTAAAGTTGCTTGAGGGGATATGGGAAAACATTTGAAATTTTTCATTTAACCCAAGAAGGATTTTGAAATATTCAGTGTTTCTTCTCCTTATGATCTTTAAGAAGACATAATTCAGTATGGTATTACATTTCTACAAAAGTTACACTTTACAGCATATTTTTTCCTAAGTATTTTATAATGCCCTTTATTTTCCTTAGATAAAATTCATAATGTAACATAATTACATTATTGATAACAAACCAATATAATGCCCTAGGTGTACTATTTTAAGAGTAACACATCAATATATTCCTTAATACATAGACATCAGGCACTGGATTAGAATAGAAAATAGAATGAAGTAGGCAGATGCTTGCATCGCAGTCACCATGAATGCAATGGCTACAAAGACTGATACAGATATGCTGGCCTGAGGTCTCAAACTCCATGAGTACCTTAGTACTGGTACTAAGGTTGGTAATACGGTTTTCCAACTTTATGTCAATTCTTGTTAAAACTCTGAACTTCATAAAATACAATCTTCCCTCAATTTGTACAACAGTGGCATTCCTAAAATATTTAGCATATATTAAAATCATGTGAAAAATACATTGTGTTTGTAAGGAATTAGACCCTCAATTTAGATAATTATAAACACATTTTCGCCCCCACATGAATGTCCAACAGGATGTTTAAAAGTCATGCAAGAGGTGGGACAATTCCTCATTCTGTGAGGTGCCCCATGCATTGGGAGATATTTCTCCTACCACCCACAGCCCCCATCCACTATGTGCCAATAGCTTTGACCCATCTTGATGCTGACTAATAATGTTACTGAATTCCCCAAACACCCCTGTGGAAACTCACAGATATATATATATATATATATATATATATATATATAATGAACTTGTTTCAATGGAAATGAGACCACCGAGTTCTTAAGTTCTAAGATTAAATATAATAAATCACATGCTGTACCAGGAAAATGTTCAAGATGAATTCAAAAGGTTTATTGCACCAAATGCCACAGGAAAATGGATCAAAATAATACATGAACAAGTTTTAAGAAAAATTTTCCATACATTGACATTGATATCTATTTAACTGATCAAAAAATATAGAGTCCTATCAATTGGTCTTAATGGAGGAGCTTCAATTAACAAATCCCAGAATTTTCTCCTTTTTTAAACACCACTTATATTTAAGCATATTGTAATCTTGCTTCCAAGATACATGGTTCGCCAAATTTTGATATTTAAAAATTAACATTCAAAGGGCGCTGTCTGATTTAGGCAAATATATTAAAATATCCCCTACCCCAAGCACAATAAAAAACAAATGTTCACATTTATCATGAGAAGTTAAAGACTTTTTCAATTTAATGGTGAAAGTATGCAGGAACAAAATATTTTCAGAAGTACATATCAGTGGAAAAATCCAAACATTTAAAAGAATTTTGGGATCACTTTATATTCTTTATTTTTATGTATAAGCAACTCTAGTGAAGAACCTAAAAAGCTACAGACAAGATTTTTATAAAATCTTAGGACCTAATTATAAGAACCTCATGAACAGTTTAGTATCATTTAGCAAGCGGGAATTTTCCTCCCTCCAAAAAAGTTAATTTCGAAAAACATGGTAAGTTTAAAAAGTTGTGATGTGTAAACAGCAGTTCCATGGGATGTGAAAAGATTATAGTTACTTTCATTAAAAAACAGCACACTTCAGAAAAATGGATTGAAGCTTGTACAAAAAGCTATTTAACACTGATAAAAATAAAATACTTTGGAATTATGCACAGTTATGGAAGCTACATTTAAAATTTTTATTGTCATGTTTAAATGTACACAATTACCTTTACATTCAATCACTCATCAAGCTGTTGAAAATAAAACTGCAACATGCTAGAAAGAGGTCCATCACAGTAGTACTACACACCTCCGCTCTGACATGCCTCACTAGCTTGCTTAGAAAAGCAAGATGCTACAAAGCGACACTCAACAGGTTAAGACTTCAAAGTTGAAGAAACCCTAAAGGTGGAATCCTGTCAACTGAGGTAGTTTTCTCTATTTTTTGAAAATTTAGTATATATATATATATATATATATATATATATATATATTTTGAGGTGGGCCCAGGTGAGGGCTGGACCCTTTCCTGCCTCTTGGGCTAAGACAGAATGAAGCCACTAGGTGTGTATGGTGTGTGAGTGGGTGTATCGCAACACAATTCCATGAGATTTTTTTTCTTCTCCACTTTTGGGAAGAGCTGAATTTCAGATAAAACTTGAATGTTATTTAAAGGAGGATTATGAAAGGGCAGCAACATTCTTGGTCTGTTTTCATAGGCAGTAGATGTGAGGGTTAGGTTCAGATTGGAATCCTGAGTGTCACTGAGACAACCCCCACACATGACCCACCTGATTTTCCAACAGACATTTTCCAAGAGAGAGTTTTGAAATAGTAGACCAAGAGGCAAATTATGTTTCTCAGGCTTTGGGGAGCTAGGCTAAATCTTTTACATATGGAGTTTAGAATCAGTCATTTAAAGCTCGATTTCCCCCTCTACAGGTCTAATTTTCAACAGTGTGTACACATTAGAATGGAGATTTTTGTATCTAGGTACTTTACGGTGGGGAGTAAGGAAAGCTAGGGAAAGTGCCCCAAACTGGTAAACAAGGAAAAGGGAACTAGAGGTGAGGGGAATGCTCTAAACCAGTACAGATGGAAACAATGTAGCATCAGCTATTACAATTTATTCACATGTAGTGGAAAACAAATGAATGAGCAGAGCCGTAGGTGAGGTTTATTCTCTGTGTGTGAGGACAACCAGCAATGACATCATGGAACTAGAGAATTTAAACAGCCAACTCAGATGTTAGGCAAAATAGAAAAATATAAGAATAGAAAACTTCAATTTTATGAAAGACATAAAATAAAAATTACAGATCTTAAGAGTCCTAACATACCCATCTGCATTTCACATCATAGAGAGAGAGAGAGAGGGGGGAAGGGTAGCAGTTCTGATCTATTCCTAAGAAATAATACACCAGTTTTTCTCCATTGGTACTGCAGCTATACTCTTTCAAATAATGACCTTGCATTTTTAAAATACTGACTAACATAATTTGGTGTTTAAAATCAGGATTTTATCAAATACAAAAATCTTATAGTCATCCCAATCCCTGAAACAGAAGCTACTTCATATTCTTAGGTACAAAGGATACATGGAAAGGACTGGAATTAATTCATAACAGTGAAAGGAAATCAGAACCTAGTTATCACTAGCTGTACTCAAGATCTGAAAGGTGCTAGCAGTGTTTTGCTTTACTAGATTAGCTCCTGTCCTTTAACTATCAATTTTTAAAAAATCTTTTCCTTTTCCCTGGATGCCAGTACATAATCTGACATGGTTATAGTTCATGGTTTCTAAACTAAGCAAAGTTTCTTTTATATTAATAGAAAATCAAGTTTTTTTTCAAAGTGAACTATGCAGATAAACAATTCCTCATTTTGGAAGGTTTTATGATATGTAAATTCATTTATGGAAAGGTGTTCTGAAAAGGTCATAAGGATCAGAAGGCACAGAGATGATAATGTAAAAATTTAGATCATATATGGATTGTTTGTATATGTTCAAACTAATTACTTTCACTGGTCATCCTGAACTGTTGCAGGTTTCATTTCCCGCCAGGACAGCTGTGCCTTTTAAAGTATAAATAGTCATTTGTATTGACTTTTTATAGGAAGAAAGTGGCTTCGGCTGGAAGAATTCAGCAACAAAAACACTCTTGAGCTTATAGAAAAAACTTTGGTAAATGGCCTCTCTTACAGAGGCTGCTGCTGAAAGCTCTGAAGTACAAGGATAAAACATACGGTTCTCAGATGGTGCACTTTGCTACTACAAACTACATCTTTGTGAGATAAGATGCTACATTGATTCTTGGGTTTATTGCACCAACGATCCATCTCTAACCTACCTGCGGCTGCATCTGAAACAAGGTAAACTCTGAGAAGATGTGAAAACACTGGGTCCCTAAAGTACTCTCTCCCCAACAGGCAATCCTCTCTCCTATGTCAGAAGGAGCTCCTACAGCCACCGGAGCTGAAGATGGCACAATGTGACTATTTATTTCACTTCTTGTAAAAAGCAAACTCTGACCTGGAAATCCACAGTCCTTGTTCTGACAGTCTTCCTGGAATAGCAAAACAGGTTTTCTGCAGTTTGGAGAGCTCATGCTTCAACTCTGAAACATTTTCTTCCTGGAATGGTCTGTACACCGTTTCTTCCCGGCTGCAGAGTCCCTTGTCCATATGCTGCTGAGCACACGGGGCATCTGTGCCAACAGCTTAGTGTTCAGTGTAGTGCTTATGCTTCCTCCTATCAAAAAGGTCACTCTCTCTGTTGATTCATGGGTAACAAAAGGCCTGAAGTGTTCATGAAAAACACAAGTGCCATTATGTCAAGCAAACCTAAGCCTTCCAACGAAGCATCCACTTGAGAGCAAAAAAACAAACCAGAGAGGTGGAATGCCTGCTTCTTGTTTGTTTGCTGTTCTTATGCTTCTGACGTCCCACAGAGCACAGTCCTTTCTCCTTCAGTTGAGAATCCGATTTTTTTTCTTCCGAGGAAGAACCGTCCTGAGTGTTGGCTTACAAGAGTATTTGAGCGACATACGGAGAATGAGTACTGGCAACAGCGGTCAGCAGAGGCAAGTCGTTCGATTCGATCCTGAATATTGAAAAAAGAAGTGCATTAGTTTAAAGTGGCATGGCTTTGCAGAAAGTATTACTGCTAGCTACCACACTTGCTGGGTCACTGCTTAAAATTAATGAAAAAGCAGAGGGGTGGGAAGATGATCAAGTCATCCTTTTACAATGTGACTTCCCCGTAGGAGCACCGTGTGTTCCGGGGCCGCACGGCTGTCTTCCGTGCAGGGTCGCCAGCCACAGCTTCCCTGTATTCCCTGGACCTCACTGTGCTGTACTTCGGTGTCTCCCATCGCTGCTCGTTGCTGCAGTCACACTCCCGAAAGCACCGTGATCCTGTGCCGGGGTTCAGATTAGTCTGAGGAAGGTGAAGAAGGTGGTAATTTCTTCCACAACCTTGGAGATTTGTTCAACAGGTTATACAACTTGGGCCCTCGGTACGCTTCTGAACCACGACATCTAGGAGCAGAGTGACCCTAACAGATACTGAATCAAGAGACACGGCGACACCAAACGGCTGGGGCTTTGTCTGCATGTCTTAAAGCAGAGGCGGATACAGCGTGGCCACTGGCTAAAGTGCTGCAGAAAGTCCTGGAAAATTAGGACAGCTTCAGTCTGTGGAATATACCCTAATACTTTCCCTTAAATTACAAAAATGCAAAACTGAAAATAAAACTTAAAAAGACGGCTGGCGTTCCTTCCTGGAGTTTCCCGTGCTAGCGGTGGCAGTGCTCCTACCGGAGTGATTTCCGGAGGATGAGTCTGGCGGGGCCTCTCGTGCTGCAGGTTGGGGGATGGAGGGGGCCCGCGAGAGGCGGGGTGGGAGCCCCACTAATAACGCACGAAGGGGCCTGGAGGTGAGGGAGGTAAGCAAGCCCCTACGGTCCTCCTAACAGTGCTGCTGCCGGGCACCTGTCAGAGTCAGCGACCAGGTGCGGATCCTGAAAACCTAGGGCGCACACCTGCCAATGGGAGGCCTGATGAAGCAGGACCCAAGTAGCAGTGGTAAAGAGACCTAACCAGAAACTGACAGAAAACACGACAAAGACATATGTCGCAAGTTAACTGCAAAAGCAAATGCCTCAAGGGGGGAAAATATTTTTTAAATGATGTAAGGAAACTGTGACAGGAAACAATACAGTATATCACTTCCTGGGTGCAAAAGATGATAAGTCTGACAAGAATGCAAAGGCCTGAGTCTTGAAAAAACACTCTAATAGGCTTAATACAGAATTTCAAGGTTGGCATTATATGTGTAATATCTGCTTGCCCAGAATTAGGGGAAACATCACCACAGGTAAGGGGGATAAGTCTCCATACACACAATGTCTTTTTGTTGTCTGCTGAAAAATTAAACATAGAAGCTTTTTAAAAAACAAAAGTCAGAATTTCTTCTAGAGAAGTTATGGCAAGGACCCTCTGGAAGATGACGCACATTATTAGTAACGAAAGCCCAGCACCTCTTCTGGGGGGCTGCTGAGAAAGGCAGGAGAGCGCAGTCACCCTGCTGATGCGCCGGCAGGCCGGGCAGGCCCAGGACGATGGCCTGTCCTGCCCCAGCCGGGAAGCAAACTGTAAACACAAGCTGCCGCTCCGTGTCTGACAGCTTGTGACTTTCACATCTTATTAAAACGACTACAAATAGGCCAAGTGGGATTAAATGTTCACTTTCAAGCATAAAATAATCCAGGAAGAAGACTAACATAAAGTGCCCAAAGTATAAAGATGTGAAAAAACTCCAGTATCAGATAAAAAGAAGAGCCTCTTCATCAGGGAGCAGCAGAGGCGCACAAGCCCAAACACCCCCTTGGGGCGCCACAGCCTGCGGTTAGGGGGGCACAGCCGAGCAGGTCAGCAGGGACAGTGGAGAGACAGCCCCATCACCAGGAGGAACGGGGGCACTTCAAGGGACTCACCCCATCACGACACCTAATTCTTTCACATGAACTCGTGTGTGTCCACGAAGATATTCAGACAGCATCTTACTTTTAAGGTACATCTCCTGTAGTCGATCTTCAAGATGCATGATGCACTGCAAAGCCAGAAACATTCACAATGGAGGCTAGAATCCAAATCTCTGCCAATATTATAAGAGCTAGAATTCTCTTAATTCATGTCTAAGTACAGAGCCATAATCTCATCCCTTTCAAATACCCTTAAAAATGACAAGTCATCTCAAATCCCACCACTAGTAGGTATAAGAATAGGTTTTATTTATAAAACAATAAAGTTTACTTTTTCTAAAGGCTATTATGATTTTCATATATATGTTCTTGTCTTCTTTAGAAAGCATTTGCTTTTTTTACAGTTGAAATCCTTCTGTAAGTGCAATTATTTCCTGCTTTGTAATTCCTTCCCCTGTTATTAAAAATTCTTTATCATGTGATTTTTATGGCTAAATGATTTTTGAGACTGTGAATTTACCATTATTTACTTAACCACAGAGCAATCTGCATTTTTGTTATAATAATATTGTAAACATCTTTGTTATTTTCCTATATTTCAGATTATTTTGGTGCAAAACTTTCCCAGAAGGAGAACAACTGGAACAAGGTTACTATGAACTGTTTTCTGCTCTCAAGAGCATATTTTAACTAGGCTTTAATAACAATAAAGAAAAGGCAATTATTTTCAGGGCATATCTACCCTTGGAATTGTGTTCAACTTCATTTTTTAGAGAACAGCAACCATCTGTGTCTTTCACCAGAGGCAAATGTTTTTGTATTTGGCAGGCAGAGCTATCCAAGCATCTTCAGTAAGAGACCTGATGGCTTTGGCAAGGGTAATTCCATCATACATAATTTTCTTCTAGACCATTACGTCTGTTATTTTCAAGGTAAAAGATTAACAGATGCATTTGATAATGTTGATCTTGACCATCTGGGCTGCTCAGTGCCATGGAAAAAGTATCTGTTAGAGATGCAATTGTGTCAGTTTTCATTGGTTTAAAATCTTAAATGCATTGTGTTGGGCAGATGAAACCCAACTGTTAAGTGACTAAGAGTAATAATAAGCAAGGAGGTTTTCACCAATTCTCATGAAAGTGTTCCAAGTAAACAGAGTTAAATGGTAAAAGGATTTTCTATTAAGTTTCAGTTCCTTGTGGAGTAAATACAAAGTTTTTAATAAAAGGGTTATAAAATATTAAAAAGAATTCACATTACACTGAATCCTTCATGTTTTAAAATAGCTCATTTTCAGTGTTTTCATAGTCCCCATGAAAACTGCAGGTTGCAATGTGGAAACAAAGAGAACACTGGCTTACATGGAGTGCCTACTAAACTTGCATTTAGACAAAAAATTGAAAAGGTTTATTAAATATAACCATTTTGAGTTTTTTTCTTCCCTTCTAGGATTTTACTCTTGAGATGGAGCTCTTCAATTTTTAACTTCTGAAATTTTACATAACTACTTTCTCCTTTTGTACTGAAGATGGACAACTGAGATGTGAAATGTCACAGGAGCTGCGTATTAGAGGATAAAATATGAAAGTTTGGTCAGTACTTATAATAGTAAAAAACCATAAAAACTAATATATCTTTCTTTCCTTACAGAAAAGGAGACTCCAGCCTCAAAAGCAGCATGATGCCACTTGCTACTAGAAAGAAAAACCACCTACAATTGTGGAACAAAAATAAAGCCACAGGTCATTAGTGCTTCCTTCTCACATTACCCCTGGGACAGATATCCAGAAGAGTATGCTTCAGTTTAAGCCCAAATAAAGATTTTAGTGAAAAGGTGTTGTCATTCCTTAATTAATATTGTTTCATGAAACTAATTATGACGAACAATCATACTAAAGGTAGGTGTTTCCTGAGAGCTCATAACATCTAACACTATTCAGGTAAAATGCTTTGCATGAATGATCTAATTTTACTTTCATAACCATATGAGATAGGCTCTACTATTTCCCCAGCTTTACAGATAAGGAAATTGAGGCTTTGCAGAGTCACAGAGGAAGCTGCAGAGCCTGGATCTGACTTGATGCGACTGGGCTCTATGCCTGTGCGTTGGCCATTACTGCATACTGGCTGTTAAAGTACCTTGTATTGGCACAGTGCTTTGAGAGTTGAAAAAAACAGTATCTTAGCCCTAGTTTTCAGAGGTTTCTCACAACATGCTTGCTGAATAGGTACTATCTTCATTTTACAAGTGAGATAGCTGAGGTTCAGAGACCTTTAGGAAGGCCCCCTTTCACACAAATCATCAACGGCAGAGCCGAGACCCTAACCCAGTCACATTCTGTGGTCTCCTTGTCACACTACACTGCCACACTACTCAGGTGACAACCAGGTTTCCAAGTACCTTCCTCAAGGCCATAAAAGTACTGACTTTTCTGAGGAATGTGGTCAATGGCAGAGTCGATCATAAGAACTAAGGAAGATTACCACTCAATTAGTGTAGGCAATTTATATTCCCCAGTTTCTTTCTACTTCCTCATTAAATAGCTCTGTAAGCTCTGTGAGGCCAGAGGGGGAGAGCAGATGTCCCAGTGCGGAGCTGTACTGCAGCGAGAAGCAGCATGCAAGGCCGCCGGCGCTCCCGCAGCCCAATGCGTGTCCCTGCGGTGCCCCTAAGCTTTTCCAGGCTATATGTCCTTAAACCTCTCCCCCTCTCTAAATATATTTTCTTGTAGTCTCTTTGCACACACACACACATGCATGATCTGGGCTGCTCAGTGCCATGGAAAAAGTATCTGTTAGAGATGCAATTGTGTCAGTTTTCATTGGTTTAAAATCTTAAATGCATTGTGTTGGGCAGATGAAACCCAACTGTTAAGTGACTAAGAGTAATAATAAGCAAGGAGGTTTTCACCAATTCTCATGAAAGTGTTCCAAGTAAACAGAGTTAAATGGTAAAAGGATTTTCTATTAAGTTTCAGTTCCTTGTGGAGTAAATACAAAGTTTTTAATAAAAGGGTTATAAAATATTAAAAAGAATTCACATTACACTGAATCCTTCATGTTTTAAAATAGCTCATTTTCAGTGTTTTCATAGTCCCCATGAAAACTGCAGGTTGCAATGTGGAAACAAAGAGAACACTGGCTTACATGGAGTGCCTACTAAACTTGCATTTAGACAAAAAATTGAAAAGGTTTATTAAATATAACCATTTTGAGTTTTTTTCTTCCCTTCTAGGATTTTACTCTTGAGATGGAGCTCTTCAATTTTTAACTTCTGAAATTTTACATAACTACTTTCTCCTTTTGTACTGAAGATGGACAACTGAGATGTGAAATGTCACAGGAGCTGCGTATTAGAGGATAAAATATGAAAGTTTGGTCAGTACTTATAATAGTAAAAAACCATAAAAACTAATATATCTTTCTTTCCTTACAGAAAAGGAGACTCCAGCCTCAAAAGCAGCATGATGCCACTTGCTACTAGAAAGAAAAACCACCTACAATTGTGGAACAAAAATAAAGCCACAGGTCATTAGTGCTTCCTTCTCACATTACCCCTGGGACAGATATCCAGAAGAGTATGCTTCAGTTTAAGCCCAAATAAAGATTTTAGTGAAAAGGTGTTGTCATTCCTTAATTAATATTGTTTCATGAAACTAATTATGACGAACAATCATACTAAAGGTAGGTGTTTCCTGAGAGCTCATAACATCTAACACTATTCAGGTAAAATGCTTTGCATGAATGATCTAATTTTACTTTCATAACCATATGAGATAGGCTCTACTATTTCCCCAGCTTTACAGATAAGGAAATTGAGGCTTTGCAGAGTCACAGAGGAAGCTGCAGAGCCTGGATCTGACTTGATGCGACTGGGCTCTATGCCTGTGCGTTGGCCATTACTGCATACTGGCTGTTAAAGTACCTTGTATTGGCACAGTGCTTTGAGAGTTGAAAAAAACAGTATCTCAGCCCTAGTTTTCAGAGGTTTCTCACAACATGCTTGCTGAATAGGTACTATCTTCATTTTACAAGTGAGATAGCTGAGGTTCAGAGACCTTTAGGAAGGCCCCCTTTCACACAAATCATCAACGGCAGAGCCGAGACCCTAACCCAGTCACATTCTGTGGTCTCCTTGTCACACTACACTGCCACACTACTCAGGTGACAACCAGGTTTCCAAGTACCTTCCTCAAGGCCATAAAAGTACTGACTTTTCTGAGGAATGTGGTCAATGGCAGAGTCGATCATAAGAACTAAGGAAGATTACCACTCAATTAGTGTAGGCAATTTATATTCCCCAGTTTCTTTCTACTTCCTCATTAAATAGCTCTGTAAGCTCTGTGAGGCCAGAGGGGGAGAGCAGATGTCCCAGTGCGGAGCTGTACTGCAGCGAGAAGCAGCATGCAAGGCCGCCGGCGCTCCCGCAGCCCAATGCGTGTCCCTGCGGTGCCCCTAAGCTTTTCCAGGCTATATGTCCTTAAACCTCTCCCCCTCTCTAAATATATTTTCTTGTAGTCTCTTTGCACACACACACACATGCATGAATTTTAAGAATAATTTGTTTTGTATATTAATTTCAGTGTCTGGGGAAAGCTGTTGGTCATTTTCTAGGACTTTGTGGGCCTGTTTTTTGTTTGCACTTAATATAATGTTATGAAAGTGATTTTAAAATCCCAGTCATAAAGGAACAACTGATACCACCTTGTATGGGTACAGTACTTCAAACTCTGAAGTGTTTATACAAATAGTATTCCATCTTATCCTTAACAAATTTATGAGGACTGTCCCTCATAGGACCTACAGCCCAAAGCAACTACAGTCCCTTCAGAACTGGGCTTGTTTGATAGGGATCATACAAATGGAGAAATGGGAGTTCTCCAAAGGAGGATTTTAAATTGCCTTTTATGCTTGATCTCTCCCCTCACACCTTATTTACTTTACCATATACCTTGTTCAAAAAGATCTCAGCGCTGCTCTGTTATTTGTTCCGTGGAAGGGCTGTTGTTACTGAAATCCATCCTGTTTGCTGGTTTGTGTTGCATGTTGCATAGACTTAAGCTTATCTCTGATTATACTAAAAACAATACATTTTAATTTGTGGTTTTATAATCAAACTATTGTTAAAAGTATTGTTTTTTCTTTTAACTGTATCTCTTTAGCAATATGAGAATGAATACTTACAAAATCAGCAGGGAGGTGAAGCTTGTAAAGCTGTAACAAGGATTGAAGTAAACTGGACACCTGACTAGACACCAAGACATCCTGGCCCAGTTTCATGTTGTCCACCATTTTCCTCTGACTTGTGGCTACCTGGACAGTCCACTTATCTGTGTCTGCGATGATACAGACGGCTTCAGCTATTGGCTCATCAAGCACTGGGTGCTGGAAGAGAAACAGAGTGGGTCAGCTCTCCACGGCACTGCCAGTGACAGGGTGTCCCAAATGTGCCTGTTTAGCATTAAATGAATGGTTCAGAAATTCATGTCAAGAGTTATGGAAATTTAGAGCTTTTCAGGGACTTAAATAGGAATATTATTAAATCATCACTTATAATTCATGTGATGAGAACTGCCTATAATCATTTTTTTCTTACCCCCAGTTAGTACACTATAAAGGATCCTAAATGTTCACAGATAACTAAAAAGATACATGTCCTTCCTACATTCCAGGATGTTAAAATTCATTTCTTTTGAAACATCACACTCTCCTTTTAAAATGTAGAAAACTGGAATAAGGTGTAGGATTCTACTGCCATTTCTCCAATAAGTTTAGGCAGGGTAATTTAATATTCCTTTAACGTTATAGATTTAATCATTAAGCAATATTTATTTACTGACTACGCATGCTACATATATAAATCAACTCTAACAACCAACTAAAACCAGAAGGGGGATGAATTTATTTGTCTAGATGAGTCCAAAAGGTCAAAGGATGGCCAATCATGGATTTATTTAAATGCACAATTTTCCATAACTGGGTAGTTATGGATACAGCAGGTTAACAACTAGTAAACCATGCCAAAAGCATAAAATGGGTAAACAATGAAGCAATTTAGGAAAGGCCCTTAAAAAAAAAATCTAATGTCTTAAAACTGATCAAAGTGTAACAGCTTTTATGACGTTATGTATGCAGGGTCCAGGAACAAAAAAGAATCTGCTGAGCATTTTCAGAAGACTACCTTAAAAAAACTACTTGAAGAATTATACATTCTCGGGCTACCAAATATCTAACACAAAATTCCCTGAATACATCCACAGGCCAACCCAGCTGTCTCCACTGAACCACCACATCATTTAGTAGTTACTCACTTATTTACTGAAAATAAAACTTTTCAAAGAGAGATGGAAATAGAGGAAAATGTAAATGGTGAAGAAAAAGAAATGGGGAGAGGTAAAAATATCATCAGCAACTACTTCAGTTACAATTTAAGGGGCACCAGGGTGACTGGCTGCCCATTCCTGACCTGATCTAAACTTCTATAGGGTCAGAAGGTTGACATTTAATTTGCTGTGATTCTGGAGATTTCTGATATATCTTTCCAAAGAAAACACAACCCCAGTAAAGTGAGGGCAATTGAAACACATTAGGATTTGGCTTACTAGTTAATCTCTAAGCTTTTAGAGTAAAGAACTCTTAAGATCCAGAAGACCTTGTTTGGGCTCATCACAGAAACGCACACCCACACACACCCTATGCCTTGGTATTCAATTTAAAATTCCTTTAGGAAAGGCTCTACTTTTAAGGAATAAGTAGAACCATAATAAACAAAGGGAACAATTGTACATATGTTTCTTTTTTATACTAACTTTTTATTAGCCGTATCTTAACTGCAGAGGTAGTGATATCTGTCAGGGAGAATTTTTCAAGCTCACAATTTTATCAAGTCCACATACACAACAGGATACACACAAACACACACCCTTATTATCAGTAATAGCATACACGGAACAGTACTTTTGAGAAATTAAGTACTTTAAGAAATGCTACAAAACCTAAGACTGAATGATTCAGAGCCTGATCCATTCACCTGCTACTATTAGGGCTTGGAGTTTGGGTGAGTAGACTAGGAAAAAGAAATTGGTAGGTGAGGCTGCTCCCCAATATGGACACATGAACCTGAGAGTCTGACTTTAGCCTCCCATGGACCTTAAGGGAGACGAATTATGGGTAACTATCAACTTAGCAAGTAAGATTACTTAGTAAGATTTCCCTGATGTTAAAACCCTCTTTAAAAAAAAAAGTTCTAAGTAACATAGAAAAACAAAGAAGCCTACACCATATATTTACCCTTGGAAGATTTCTTCCAACCGTTATTGCCTCAGGTTAAACAGGACCTCTGATGTTTGAAGTTTTTGTTTTTAAACATGAAAATCTCATGGAGCTTTATTGGAATTTCCACCCCCCCAGCTCCCTGGCAAAATTAACTCCATGGTTTCTTACATGCTTTCCTTAGGGGCGGTGAGCAGTGGAGACAGAGAATTAGGCTAAGCCCTTGTGGTTTTGGCTCTGATCCAGTCCCTCCACCCCAAAGCCCCACAATATGTACATCTGATATTTGAATTTTGAATGAAAATCTGAAGGGAATGTTAATATTAAAAACAGTCATTTCTACTTAAAATGCTTGTTTGGAAATTTTATGAACCTCATGGACGCTGTTGTGTATCACTTTTATTTTCTTTCTCAAGCTGAAGAGAATCAATGTCAAAGTCAGTTTCTTGCCCACAGAGTTTGTTAAATTCTCATGTGAGAAAATGTCTGCAGTACATTTCTACTTCCTCCACTAACGGGGACGTCCCGGCCCTCCTGAGCACTGAGCACCCACCCACAACACCGGCGCACCGCAGGGCTACCAGCCCTCAACGCACCTCACACCTTCCCTGCCAACTCATCCAGAACTCTGCCAGCAGCTTCCACGCCTCCCTCTGCAACTTAATAGGGCGCCTCAGAAACTTCTGACTGAGACTGGAGGACGAGAGAACGCTGGAGATCAGCGAAGAGCTATAGGCGATTGTGAGGGTGCGCCCAGTCTCTGCCAGGGGAATGAAGTAGTGGTAACATGCTGTTGTCCCTTTTGTCCTGCTCTAGTCTGTGGGAGTTAGAAACAATCACTTAGCTGTATCTGTCAATATCTCACTTATTCAAACTCCTTTCCTGTGAAGAGGTCTCAAAATAAACTGACAAATGAAATACTTATTAGAGGTCTTGGGAGGATTCTTGAATATTCTATTATAGCTCATTGAATCAACAGGGTAAGTCTGGTTAATTCATAGCCACTAAGGATTTGGGGGATCTGCTTTCTGAAAATGTTAGATGTCTAGGACATTCCAGTTCAGATCTCTGAGTACACAAAATACACTGCCTTGATTTATGCACACATAACTTCTGCTTAACTTAAACTTCCAGGAATGAGAAATGCTTACAAGGTTTGGGTAATCAGAGGAGCTGTGGCTGTGATATTTCAACACACATTGGTAAAGAGCGAAGTCATTACCAAAAGCAAAGGCCCTGCAGTTGGACCGGACTGGGCTGGAATACTCCCTCTGTCACTTAATAGCTGTGGGACCTCAGCAACTCCTTAATGTGGACTTCAGTTTCTACATCTATAAAATGTGATAGCATATCATTCACAGAATTTCTGTGAGGTTTAAGTGAGGTTTGACTCCTGTGAGAAAACTGTATATGAGACATGTTGCATGGTGCCTAACATGTGCTAGGTACATTCGATTTGCTTTCTTACACCAGCCCCTTCTTTATATTAATCGTGTCCACTAAACCCTCAAACTTCCTAAAATACCACATTATCACTTCTCTCACCAACTCAGAAACCTGCTGTGGCCTGTATCACCCAGACACTTGAGTTCAAACTTTTCTTTTTCCATACTTAAAGCTCTTCACAGTTTGGGTTTACCTTCTACAAATATTTACTCCCAGGGCTCTCTAAGAGTAACAGCCTTCTCCAGGCAGGAAGGCTCCTGACTCTTACTTACCTAGGGCTGTGCAGATGATCTCTGCCCTGCTGTCTTCTAAATCTTCCAATCCTTCAAGGACCCAGCTGGGGTCCCATCTTCTCCCACTCCCACCCTACAAGACTTCCTACGTTCACTGCACGTCCTTCACTTCTGAGGGCATTTACCATCTACACGTTGGCATTTAATCACACTATTCTTAACTTGTTCTCGACTTCACATCTGTTTGTCTACTTAGTGATTTCATAAGTAACTCATGGAGAAAAATCACATTTTTTTCTTCTGTAGCCTCTGCAATGAGTATAACAAAATGCTAGTCATGTGCTAATCATCTAATACAGGCTGGCTCTGCTGAACGATTCTCCATTCAGATTTACTTTGGGTGCTAATCCAGTTCCTATTAAGTCATCTGCACAATTATCAATACATTTCTTTTCCATGTGACTAACATTTAAATGACTAACATTTTACATGACTACCTATTTCTAACTTAAGTGTAGGAAAACACTATTCTTACATACATACTTCCTATAATTAGTCCATCATTCCATTTTTCCTGTGGGGTGGTCAGGAACACTGTCCTGCTCTAAGATAGGAACACTGAGGACAAAAAAATATAAGTGTTTAGCAAGTATCTTGGGTTGTTAGAAATACGGAACCCAGGAACTCATTCAAGCTTTCCAACTTTTAACTCAACGAGTCTGCCAAGCCCTTTACTTTGGAATTCTTGGACCTTGTCAGGGTAGAAGACAGACTGCAAGAAGTGTGAGTGACAGTCTCAACTTAATAGATGAAAACACAGTTGCCTCTGTTATGATTTTGCTGAAAAACTTCTCCACCTTTATTCTTTATCAGTCCTCAAAGATGTCCAGCCCACACGTGTATTAGAGACAGCGGGAAAGCAGACAGTCTTCTGTACTCTTAATAGTTCTAAAATCTTCACACTAGTTACAACAGTGCAGATTTAACAACTAGGGCAGAGCCACTGGGCAGGCTCGTCAAATACAATGGGGCAGGTGATTCATGATTCAGGTATTTGGAAGTACCTCCCTACATCTTTTATTTTTCTCTGAAATATTCTGATAATAACACATAAGATTCTTTGGCATCACTGTATTGTCAATTTCTTAATTCTATATAAGGTAATTCTGGTAGGTTTTATAACTTTATTAAACTGAACCTGAATAAGAGGGTGCAACATAACAAAACACCTTTTGAAGAGATTCTCACCATTATGTTACAGCACCATGACTTAATAATATGACCCTTTACTTAACTTCAGGTAAGGCCTTTAATTAACCACACAAAGAAAATGGGATGATCACTGCAGGGAAGTTCACCTTCTCAGTACTGGCTCTTGGTTAAACGTCCTCAGATCCCCTTTTTTATTCTCCTACCTTCGCAGTGGTGAAGGCC